AAAAAAAAAAAAAAGAAGAAAATAGGCTTTGTCTCTGATAGTTGTAGGTTTTTTTGCCCAAATTTCTGTCAAAGCTAGCCAACCTCATATTCTGCTCCCATGTCTTAAAACCTTTTGAGAAGGTAACAATTTAAGGCCTTGTTTGTAATAACATTTCCAATGTGGCCACAATTTTTAATGGAACTGATGGCCATACATGTCACAAGGGTAGAGAACCATGACAAAGGGCTTTTCTTCTCCAAAGAGCAGGACAAGTGGTTTACCTGGCTTCACTGGAGAATCACAATTTCTACCCCAGGAGATGTGCTATTTGCCAAAGCAATCTTTCAGCATTTCAAAAACATCAGCAGCCTCTGAATCTCACCAAGGAGAAATTCTTTGATAGTGTTGGTGAGAACATAATGGATGAACCAAGAAGTTGGCTGTTTCTAGAAGCACAAAGCAGAGAAAACGCTTCCTCTGTGGATGCTTAAGATATGCAATGAGGGAAATCTTGGAGGGCAAGCCATCATTTGACTGTCTTCTCTTGCTCCAAACCTCAATCAACTTGACTATCTCTTTAATGAATGATTCATCAAAATATCCCCCAATTTATCACAAGTGGCTTCTTTGGCTAACCAACAGGCTGATCGCTTTTGTTGAATCCATCAAGAAAGGGCTTTGTCTTGGGGAAAATGAAATATTGGGGAATTTCTAGGCTTTAAAAATTGAATCTTACTTTGAAAATGATCCATATGGTTCAATTTAATTTGCAGTATAAGGCACACTCCTGGCATTACAGGAATGTGTCTGCTGTAGCAAGAAACAATGGCTTGAGTTGTGAAATGAAACCGAAGGATGCTATCTGAAGCTACTACGTACACTTTCTGATGTCATTTTCCAACGTAAGCATCCTTAATGTAAACAATGATAGATGTCCATAATCATAATTAAGGGATATCTGCATTAATTCCCACCAAAGAGAAGCTGTTCAAAATATCACAATATGCAACCCTTCATGAGGGTTGCATATCACCTGCTTTCTATAGTAGCATCCCAGGCCATCTGCACCTTTTTGATGGCACAGGACTTAATGGCACAATTTGACATAAAAAAGAAATTTTCTCCACAATGATAATTTTTAGAGTAGCAGGAGGAAATTTTTTTAAAAATCTTTTTTCGTTGACTCTCTAAAACTCATTCATGGGTATTCTTGGTGTGCCAGTTTCCTAGGGGCTGCCATAACAAAGTACCACAAACTGGGCTTAAAACACCAGAAATGTGTTGTCTCACAGTTCTGGAAGCTAGAAGTCTGAAATTATGCTTACTGCAGGGCTGTGCTCCCTCTGAAACCTGTAGGGGAGAATCCTTCCTGGCTTCTTTTTAGCTTCTGGGGTTTGCTCACCATCTTTGGTGTTCCCTGGCTTGCAGCTGTGTAACTCCAGTCTCTGCCTTTGCTGTCACATGGAATTTCCCCTGTGTCTCCATGTCTTCATGTGGCCATCCTTTTATGAGGACACCAGTCATAAGGATTAGGGATCCACTGTACTTGAGTATGACCTTATCTTTTTTTTTTTTAATTTTAATTTTTTTTTTAAAGATTTTATTTATTTATTTGAGAGAGAGAGAGAATG